ACGAGCATGCACGATGTTCCCTTTCCGATGCTGCTTCGCATTCCTGGCGTTCGTATCGTGAGCCTTGTTGCAGGCGGAATGTGAGCGGTTGAACCCTTTTAATCTTTCACAAGCTTCAGAAAAAATACTCACATACTACTGATAGGTCATTTCATGCTCTGGATTCGGAGGGTCACATTTACGTTTGGGGTCTGTTCTCAGACCTTGACCGTCGTCTGCGTCGGTTAATAATGTCATGCTATAGGCTCCCTCGATGGAAGTATGCCAGTTCTGCGAAGCGATGGATTCTCAGAGGCGGGGCAGAGAGCCAAGACCCCATTAAGACTTCAGATGCCAGCCGCGACGCGCAGCATCAGGTGAGGGCCACCATTTTTCGGATGAGTTACTATCATTAACCACGGCATTGAAAATAAAGCTGCGGACGTTTGCACGCATCATCTTTAGATTCTGAAGGCCAGATATGGACATTCCTGAGCTGGGGACGCCCATTTAGGCTTGTGTCCGACGTCTTCACCGACCCCAACCTGAAACCTCTGCAAGTTGAATGTGGATGGAGATTTTCTTCCCTGCTTACCGTATCCGGCGACGTCTTCGTATGGTGGCCCTTTAGTGGGGAGACTGCGCAGCGCATCCAGGCGGTCAACTCGCAGATGAACCAAGAAGGTGACAAGAAAGCATCCGCCCAACTTGACAATTCGATACCCTGTGTTACTTGGGATCTTAACGAGACTCCGGCACAATTACCGCCGATACCCAACCTTCCTGATCTATATGGAAGGAACGAGGAGAAGCCCACTCAACTTATTCAGATCGCAGGGTTGGATAATCAAATCATCGGCTTGACCAATAAAGGCCATGTCCTCAAGTTCGACAGCCTTCAATCGCAGGCAAGCTTATCGGGAGGGAGATGGGAATACGTGAGCACGGTTTCACAATGGTCAACAACAAACCACCAACACCAGTTCAACCCGTAGTTACCGGCTTTCAGTGAGATCGAGGAGGTACAGCCTCAGTTTGCCCAGCTGGGTTTGGAATCCCCTAATTCCTTGAGGATTACGCACGTATGTTTCAATCATTCTACAGACAAATACCGTCACCAATGTCGTCTAGATATCTGCCAATTTTGTGAACTTCATTGCATATTCGACGGGCAGTCCAACTTCGACCGTATTGATAGGCAACGCCAACGCCACGCCTGAAACCAGACCACAGATCCTACCTGAGCTGCAGAACAAATCGATTATATCTGTGGTTCTCGGCGACTATCACAGCGCTGCACTCGCGTCGAACGGAAAGGTTTTCACTTGGGGTTCATATTCTTGCGGGGCTCTTGGTCTGGGAGATCCTGCGACATTACCGCCCGGTACACCAGGTGGTTTTGAGAGCGAAGAGGAAAGAGTACAAGCCGAAAATGGTAGGAGAGGCGAGGTAGCCGCTGTAGGTGTCCCCACGGAAGTAAGATTCGATCATGGTCGGAAATCGCCCAAAGACAGGTTCTGTTTTTTTATTACTGCAGCTGGGTGGCACACTGGTGCGCTTATCATCGATTTAGAGGTGAGCCTATGTCGTTTCGCCGTTGATGCTGATAGAAAGAACTTGGATAGCCCGATGACAACGAGGACGATGAGATTGAATTAGAGCCCGAGGATAGGCCATTGCCGCGACAGATATATCATCAATATCACCCACTTCCCGGACAGGGTCCGCCTATCGCGCCGTTTCCTGGTCTCCGCATTGGGTTTGCTGGGCGAGGACGTGGTATTGGCCGGGGCTTTGGGGGTGGATAGAAGATAAATGTCGAATAATCAAGGCTCCTGTTAAGTTACTTGAATGTTACCACAAGTGTATAGTATTGGTGTTTGCAATGGGAAGGAGGACTGGCATGAATGACAGAAAAAAGTTGATGTCCAGTAGCAGACTCCGTGCAGTGTGACTTAAACATATCACGGTCAACAGACAGACAAACCTGTAAATCCAGGACAACAGTGAGTCGGGGTGGAGCCAAGGCTGGTGTCTCTCTCTCACGTGAAGAGTTTGAGAGAGAAAAAGGGCCTAACTGGGAATTGAACCCAGGACCTCCTCGAAACGGACTAACCCTAACAAGGAATCATACTACTAGACCATCAGGCCACAAAGAAAGAAGCTCATGTGTGTTGTCGTGGGTGGGGGTCGAGAAGCGAGGGCCTCCAGTAGCAGGGCAGAGGGAATAGATTGGGAGGGAATCAAATTTGGCCGCCTACATAGAGGTCGAGCGACGACAACGGCAGTGCCTTCAGGATGAGCTCTGCCACGTGTCCGAAATCCAAAGTCCGATGTGGCGCATGGTTACTTGTCATGGTGCCCGGCTTCATTGTACGGAATATCAAGCACATGGGCATTTTCACAGGATATGTTTTTGGTAAGTATTTCTTCGATGAAAAGAATGGGTTAGTGGCCTAAATGGACCCAAAGAGTATACACATTTACATCTAGGGCGACATTCTGCTGGGAGAGCCACAAAAGTAGGAGAAAATGACAATGGTACGGGCCTAACTGGGAATTGAACCCAGGACCTCCTCGAAATGACGCGTTCGCCCTAACAAGGAATCATACTACTAGACCATCAGGCCACGACGCCAGAAATGCCAGCGACGGAACCAGAGGGCCAAATGATGGAGAAACCACCCCGTTAGTTACCCCCATGAGCGTTACGTAAACAGATTGCATCCTTCGACATAAATCCAAGACACAGTCGATTTTGATGTAGAACCAGATGCAGCGCTTCAGTGGGCTTGGCAGGCTGTTATAGTCAAATTTCAAATTTCCCTTTCGTCGACCGGTGAATAATCGGGCAGTAGCTCAATGTAAGAGGAACAAAATGATGTATCTGACTCATCTACGGACCGAGCAGGTTCAACAGGCTTGTCAGAGATTGAAGCACAGCCTTGAAACACAACCTTCTCAATCTCAACCTCAAACTTCTGAATGTCCTTCGTTCCAGAGTCATGATTTGGCTCGTTGGCTTTAGCCGCCAACCGATCCTTCGACAACCCCGCTTCTTCAGTAAGTGTTCTCTTTCGCTGCAGCCTTTGGATTATGCTGATCAATATCTTCATCCTTCCCGTTTGTCGCTGGCTATGCAGTGCTCCCAGATACGACCCGTCGGAAGAGACATCGAGTGGTTACTTCAACCTCGCATAGCAATCAAAAATTCTCCAGTCATATAACATAAGTCATGTATTCTACACCTTGATTAAGCCTTCGTATAAATTTTAAACAATCTTAAGCCTTTCCCTTGGAATGTATCGACGGCTTAAACCCTTACGGCTTAGGTACAGTACTGTCAACTTCCGCCTGATCCGGCGCGCGGAAGGCCGCGGGACGCTATGCGGGAGGGAGGGGAAGATCGAAGGAAGAGGCGGAGGATGTCTAGCAGGGGTTCGAAGGGATTCGGGGGGCAAGAGGACGATGAAGAGCTTAAAGACGTCCGATAGCAAACTGACTATCAACGGTGTCTGCGATCGGAGCGAGACGCGTGGGGCTGTGGCGCAACAAAAAACGATTGAACTGCAAGTGGAAAAAATGCTTTTGCACGTATGCATGTTGGGTTCCCTTTTGAAAGGGTATGTATGGACCGCTGTTATCATTCCAGACGAAGCTGGGATCCTTTGCTTATCGTATATGATTGTACTTGGCTGCTTCCATCCAGCAAAACTCTTAAGGGCCTGACTGGGAATTGAACCCAGGACCTCCTCGAAATGGCTAAGCCCTAACAAGGAATCATACTACTAGACCATCAGGCCTGGTGCCTTTCTAGGCTACGAGAAAATTGTCACCCGACTGAGGAACAGCGTATTTCGAATTTTCTATATAATAAACAGATACTACTTGAAGCGAGTCCAAATGTTGCGGAGTGGAACTGGCATGCGGCTTTTGGGGGTTCCTTCGGGTGTTACCTGACTGGAGCTTCCCCGTCTGAACGTCATATCATTCATAGTCCAACGCAAACCAGCTGTGTGTGGTGTGGTCGGAGTACTTTTGCTCTCTTGGTTTTCATCGCTAGAATCCAAACGACTGAGCGGTTGGCGCCCCAGCACGTCGGTGCTCGCTTTCCGCCCCAATGCTACAGCACTCCGCGGGCGAGGTGAAGTTCGATGAACGACGAATGTAGGCTTATTACGCGAGTGTTCTCCTTGAGAAGTGGAAACGGGACGAGAACCTGTGGCCTTTCCGATGCTTTTGTTCGTAGATTGCGGAGAATTTTGTGGTACAGGGATGAGAGGAGAGGGATTCCCAGCCGTTTGTTTCAAACTGGAATGTGTGTATGCATGGATACGAGATGATGCGTTAGCTGGCTGCCGTACAGAAGAGGCGGTCGCCTGCGGCGTAAACGGATGACCTTGCACTTCATCCCGAGTCTCCGCAGATCTGTCCGGCAATGTCGCAAATCTGACGTTCTTGCAGCTTTTGAGTATCCCGCGAGGCGACGGACAGACAAGAGACGGTTCTTGGGGTACATTGACCGGCAACGCAGGAAGCGGCGTCGAAGGAACTGGACTAGGGGAATATGCAGAGCTATTGGCACGAGGTGTCACAGATTCGTTCGATGGCAGACCCGCTTTCGTTGCCAAATCTTCACGAATAATGTCCGGCAGCCTTGAAGAATTTGTCGAGTTGAGGCCGACCAAGTGGTTACCGACTTCATCAAGAAAGGAAACCGCGAACGCCCAGTCATCATCGCTTGAGCTCCCTTGCTCAGCGAAGCTCATATCTGACAATGGCGAATGAACAAGTGATTCAGGCCCTGGATCGTCCATACTCCGCGGAAAGGCGCATTGGGACCTCAGGTTCGTGACCATATGCTCCAGATCTAGAGAAGGCCCAGCACCGGTGCCCACGCATTCAAACTTCGGGGAGTAGCTTGAAGGGGAACCCAAGAACGCTGTAGGAATACTTGGGTATGGATCCTCGTCAACAGCTTCACCAAGTGTCAAGGGAGGAAGTAATCGCCTTCCACGACGAGCGGCGATGGTAAGAGGCACATCACAGTGGGCCTGCTCTAACGATCCATTAGACAAGGGAAAGCAACGATGGGAGTCGGACACTATCAAAGCTGGCGGCTCAGATGCGAGTTTGCCTTTCTCCTTCTCCAGGACGGCTACAGATCGATCCAGACCAGTCAAACTGTCCTTGAAGAAAGAGTTTAGATCTTGCAACTCGAGCATTATGTCGACCATTTCAGGGTTCATGGTTTCGGCCGGAACCTGAAGAGACCAGCGTTTCGTTCGACCATCGGTGTTCAAAGTGACTTCATGCTCGAAGACAAGGGCTTTACGATTAGATTTTGATGAGCGACGCTCGCTTGTCCTCGGAAGGACCGAACTGAACGTGGCGAGAGGAGGATACGCCTTTCTGCGAACGCTCCTGGCACTGATCAATCTGGACTTTAGTCCTCCGGGAGAGAAAAAAGAACCGGACGGAACCCAAGTGCATTCTTTGACAGGCGTTGGCGGTTCCCAGATGACATGACCTGGAGGCTGGGCCCTCATAGAAATCGTATCCTACGAAGAGGTTAGCGCTCAAGGCTCGGTGGCTGACTTGAAAACAACTCACCACCCATTTGGCGATACACAGGGGCTCCAGCAGAAGATTTGTCATTCTGGGAGGTGTCGCGATCGACGTCAAAACTTTGAATTCGTCTGGCCCTTGTTTACCTCGACCAAAAGGATGCAACATGCAACGATCGTCCAGCAACATCGGAAAGATTCGAACGAAGGGCCGTTCTGGCAACGGGGGGACAGTGTCGTCCGAATTCGTCGACCAGAGCGAGTCCAAGCTCATAAACGATGACAAGAGCTGACATTCGTCGGGATCCAGTACGTCCCCAAAGTTGAAAGAATTAGCCGAGTTAATTGACATCATGCTCAAAGCGAGGGAGGCATTCAAGTCCGACATCATGGTAGAAGGTGACAAGGAAGTCTGAAGAGATCGTTTATGCAACCCACTATTTATACGAAGTTGGTGGCTGACAATTTGGCCCTGCGGCATTCAGTCGGCATTGCAGATTTCTATTGTTAGTATGGAGGTAAGTAATCCAAGAGCTCAAGTTACTTTCGAGGCAACATTCGAACAGCCATAACGCAACCCAGAACTCTGGATTCCGGAACACAGGGGGAACACGGGGTCGGTTCCGCATGCTTGTAAACCTTGTCGTAAATCTAATTAATGCGGCGGTCATGCTTTCAGAGGAGCTCAAGCTTGTGATGAGTAGGCGGAGATAGGCGCTGGCCTGCCTGGACCGATTCCCGCGGCGGCCAAGGGCCAAGGCTCATCCAGTCGACCTTATGTACCTCACCACACGACATCCCATACGGCCACGAAAGGATACGACAAAGTCACTCATAGCAAGTACATATCAGGTGGGCTTGTTATGGATCACGAACGCCTTTAAACCATCTTGTCCCTTGTGGGCAAAGCATAGCTAAGCTCTTCCTTGGCCTTGTGTGCTATGCTACTTCTTGCGTCTTTCTTCTCCGCGCCGTCAGGGAACAGGGTTCTCCCTCGAGTCACCATGCGTGACGTCGAAGCAGATAACCATTTAAAATTACAGTCGTCGCTTACCTTCCATAATTTCTTGTCGACTACCAGAGATCCCTCGCCATGAAATTTCGGCCCACCTTGGTTATTGCTGCGATCACACTCTTCGCGTGTGCAGTACCTATATCGTACACTGAAATCGTTGAAAAGTCTCGCCAGGGCTTGCGTCTTCTCAATCTAGTCGAAGGTGCGGAGCCAGAGTGGAAGACAGAGGAGGAAAAAATCAATCTCCTGCGTGCCGGGGTCCACTTTGTAAGTTAAAGACCATCACCTGTACTCCCCACTGACTCTGTCCAACCTCAGTTCGACGTTACAGAGGTTTATGAGCTGGAGAAAGACTTCCCGACCCTCAAGCCTGAGTCTGCCGTAGCCGCAAAATGTTTGTCGCATATTGCAGCATCAACTTGAACGCGGCTTAAGCCATTCCTCGTTACGCTCATTTAGTTCCGCCACCTTCTCATCAAGCAGCACTTGCCAATATTCTTCCACTGGTGTCTATACCCAACATGCAGGGCTATCTTACCAACCTTACAGCCTTCAATAACCGGTACTACAAGTCGACAACCGGCTCGCTAGCAAGCACATATATACTAAATACCGTCAAGACTGTATGACCGCGTTACTTATCTTGTGTTGTCGACGCAACTTACAGTCCATGTTTGATTTTCAGATTATCAGTCCTCGCGGTGACATCAAGGCCTCGCTATTCAACCACAGCTGGGGCCAGCCTTCGGTGATTGTCAACATTCCTGGAGGGTCAGCTTCGCCCATTACAGTTATTGGTGCCCATCTAGACTCAATCAACCTGAACAACCCGAGCAACGGACGTGCTCCTGGTGCTGATGACGATGGTACAGGGACTGTCAACCTTATTGAAGGGCTGAGGGTTCTTGTTGCTGCTGACTTCAAACCGTCTACTCCTGTCGAGTTCCACTGGTACTCTGGTGAAGAAGCTGGTCTTCTCGGATCCCAGGCGATCGCGACCGCCTACAAGAACGCTGGTGTCAATGTCAAGGCATTCATGGAGTTGGAC